GGTGCTGGGGGGCCCGGGGGACGGGTGGTGCATCGGGGGGGCCGCCTGCCCCTGGGGGGGTCCGTGGGGGCCGCTGAGGCTCTGGGGGTGGTACCAGGGGTTGTGCTCCTCCAGGAAACCCGGCGAGGAGCTGTAGGGCAGCGGCTGCGGCAGCGGGGTGCGGGCGGTGCCGGGACTGTCCCACACCGGCGACGGCGGCGAGTTGCAGGCCATGGAGTCGCTGTTGTTGGGGCTGTGCTCCAGGGGCACCTCGCCGTTCTTGTAGAGCTTCTTGAACTTGGAGCGCCGGTTCTGGAACCAGATCTTCACCTGGGGTTGGGGGGAGGGCAGGGAAAAGGGTCAGAGAGACGGGATGGGGGCAGGGAAAGGGGTCAGACCCCCGGGAAGGGAGCAGAAAGGGGGAGTGGGCACAGGGAAAGGGTCAGAGAGATGGGATGGGGGCAGAAAAAAGGGTCAGACCCCCAGGAAGGGAGCAGAGAGGTGGAATGGCACAGGGAAAAGGGTCAGAGAGCTGGGATGGGGGATGGGATGGGCACACAGACCTCCGGGAAGGGAGCAGAAAGGTGGAGTGGGCACAGGGAAAAGGGTCAGAGAGCTGGGATGGGTGCAGGGAAAAGGGTCAGACCCCCGGGAAGGGAGCAGAAAGGTGGAGTGGGCACAGGGAAAGGGTCAGAGAGATGGGATGGGCGCAGGGAAAAGGGTCAGAGAGCTGGGATGGGGGCAGAGAAAAGGGTCAGAGAGACGGGATGGGCACAGGGAAAAGGGTCAGAGAGCTGGGATGGGGGCAGGGAAAAGGGGTCAGAGAGCTGGGATGGGGGCAGAGAAAAGGGTCAGAGAGCAGGGATGGGTGCAGGGAGAGGGGTCAGAGCCCCTGGAAGGAGCGGGCGGGTGGGGTGGGTACAGGGAAAAGGGTCAGGAGGACCTGGCATGGGAATGGGAGGGATGGGATGGGCACAAGGAAAAGGGTCAGAACCCCGGGATGGCAGCAGGAGGTGGAATGGGCACAAGGAAAAGGGTCAGAGAGCCAGGATGAGTGCAGGGAAAAGGGTCAGAGAGCTGGGATGGAGCAGGAGGGTGGGATGAGCATAGGGAAAAGGGTCAGGATCTGGCATGGGAATGGGAGGGATCGGATGAGTACAGGGAAAAGGGTCAGAGAGATGGGATGGGCACAAGGAAAAGGGTCAGAACCCCGGGATGGCAGCAGGAGGTGGAATGGGCACAAGGAAAAGGGTCAGAGAGCCAGGATGAGTGCAGGGAAAAGGGTCAGAGAGCTGGGATGGAGCAGGAGGGTGGGATGAGCATAGGGAAAAGGGTCAGGACCTGGCATGGGAATGGGAGGGATGGGATGGGCACAAGCAGGGATGGGTGCAGGGAGAGGGGTCAGAGCCCCTGGAAGGAGCGGGCGGGTGGGGTGGGTACAGGGAAAAGGGTCAGGAGGACCTGGCATGGGAATGGGAGGGATGAGATGGGCACAAGGAAAAGGGTCAGAACCCCGGGATGGCAGCAGGAGGTGGAATGGGCACAAGGAAAAGGGTCAGAGAGCCAGGATGAGTGCAGGGAAAAGGGTCAGAGAGCTGGGATGGAGCAGGAGGGTGGGATGAGCATAGGGAAAAGGGTCAGGACCTGGCATGGGAATGGGAGGGATGGGATGGGCACAAGGAAAAGGGTCAGAGAGCCGGGATGGGCACAGGGAAAAGGGTCAGGACCCAGCACGGGAATGGGAAGGATGGGGCAGAGGGGAGGGGACAGGGATGGCGTGGTTTGGATCGTGGGGACACCGGACAGGGGGGTCACGGGCAGCCCAGAAATACAGGAAGGGATATTGGGGTCACAGGGGATTCCTTGGGCACTGGAACCAGCCTGGGACATGGGGTCACAGGGACCCCAGAGACACGGGAAGGGCCATGGGGGTCACAGGGACCCCAGAGACACGGGAAGGGCCATGGGGGTCACAGGGACCCCAGAGACACGGGAAGGGCCATGGGGGTCACAGGGACCCCAGACACACTCTGGCCCATAGGAAGGGACAAGGGACACAGGTGGCACATGAGGTGCCACGGGAAGGGACGTCATGGGGACCCCACACTGTGCATGGCAGGAAACCCCTCGGGACAGGGGTGTCACGGGACACGTGGAATGTCACCCTTGGTGTGAGTGTCACGGAGAAGAGAACACGGACACACCACGGACAGGGACACGGACACTCCATGGACAGGGACACCCCACGCTCTGGGGACAGCACCCACGTGACCGCAGGTGTCACAGAGACCCCTGTGGGGACACGGGCGTCACGAGGAGCCCGTCACGCCACACGCCGGGCGTCGGGAGCGTCCCCGCGCTGGGCGAGGCGGCGCTGGACGCCCTTGGCCCTGGGCGAGGGGCGGGGGTGGCGGTGGTTGTCACCCAAACAGGATGTCCCTCTGGGAGCGGGTGACGCGCTCCGTCAGCCCTTTGCCGAGTGTCCCCGATTGCTTCATCGCCCAAGGGAGGAGGAGGAAGGCCAAGGGCGGCACAAGGGCGCCGGCGCCGGCCCCGAGGCAGGGAGGGCACCGCGATGGGGCGCGGGGGAGTCACGGGCTGCGGGGACAGCGGGGACAGCGGGGACAGCCAGCTCCCCTCCCACCCGCAGAGCCGAGGGGGGGTTTGTCCCCGCGCCAGGCAGGACCCCAAGAGCGGGGGTTTCACCCCGAATGCGGGCGGCTCGCGGGAGGAGGAGGAGGAGGAGGAGGAGGAGGAGAAGCCTTTCCCGCACGTCCCGGCTCTTCCAGTCCAGCCTGCAGGGCCACCCCAGCGCTGGGGACAGCGGGCGTGGAACCGGTCCCCAAACCCCTTCTCCCTGCACGAACCGAGCGGGATGGGGCAGCCAGGCCCGGGGGAAACCTTGGGAAGTGTGGGCAGCAGGGGCAGGGACCCCCAAGTCTCTGTTGTGGCAGGATTTGGGGTCAGGAGCTGCTCTGGGGATGGGGTGTCCCCAGAACCCCGCCCCCAGCAGCCCGGCTGGCCCGGGACTCGGTGCCCCACATTCCTGGGACAGCGGGTGTGCCGTGACCCGGGACTGGCCCGGTGCCGGGGCGGGATCCAGCCCCCAGCCCCGTGCACAGGGAGGTCTCCAGAGGGAGATAAACCCTGCTTTAGCCCAAAATAAACCCCAAAACCGCACACCTGGGGTCCCCTCTCCCTGCTCCTCCATCCTCTCCACCTTTCCCTCAGATCTGCTCCAACAGGGAAATCTCACCCGAGGACCCCACAAGGGGAACTCCATCCCTGCGACCCCCGGGAGCCGAACCCTTCCCAAACCCGCGATTTACGGGGGGGTGGCAGCTCCAACTCCCCCTCTGCTGCCCGCGGGGGTGGGTTTGGGGTGTCGGGGGGGGCTCAGCGCTCACCTGGGTCTGGGTGAGCCCCAGCTGCGCCGCCAGCTCGGCGCGCTCGGGCAGCGCCAGGTACTGCGCCTTCTGGAAGCGGCGCTGCAGGGCGGCCAGCTGGTAGCTGGAGTAGATGGTGCGGGGCTTGCGGATCTTCTTGGGCTTCCCGTTGACCATCCGCACCTCGGGCTCCGGCTCCTCCTTCACCGACACTGCGGGAGGCCGCGGGGTGAGGCGTGAAGGGCTCCCCGGGCAGCCACGCCGTCCCCAGCCCGGTGTCACCCCGTGCCCAGCTCGGTGTCACCCCGTGCCCAGCTCGGTGTCACCCCATGCCCAGCTCGGTGTCACCCCGTGCCCCTCTCGGTGTCACCCCCTGCCCAGCTCGGTGTCACCCCGTGCCCCGCTCGGTGTCACCCCGTGCCCAGCCCGGTGTCACCCCCTGCCCAGCCCGGTGTCACCCCGTGCCCAGCTCGGTGTCACCCCCTGCCCAGCTCGGTGTCACCCCGCTCGGGGTGCTGGAAGCTCCCCGTCCCCTGTGACAATCTCCGGGACAGTCCTGGGACGTGTCCCGCACCCAGCACGGATCCGTCCCGCTGTGTCCCCGCGGGAACGGCTGAGCCCCGAGAGCTGCCAGCAGCTCCTGTCCCCAAGGCGGGGACACACGGAGGGGCACAACCCCACAAAGATCGGGGTCATCCAGAGGGGTCAAACCCCACAAAGATCGGGGGCACCCAGAGGGGTCAAACCCCACAAAGATCGGGGTCATCCAGAGGGGTCAAACCCCACAAAGATCGGGGTCATCCAGAGGGGCCAAACCCCACAAATCCCGGGGATCAAACCCCACAAAACCGGGGGTTAAAACCCCACAAAACCCAGGGAGGGTTAGACTCCAAAAAACCCAGGGGGGTCAAACCCCACAAAGCTCAAGGGAGTTAAACCCCACAAAGCTCAGGGGGGTCAAACCCCACAAAACCCAGGGAGGGTTAGACTCCAAAAAACCCAGGGGTCAAACCCCACAAAGCTCAAGGGAGTTAAACCCCACAAAGCTCAGGGGGGTCAAACCCCACAAATCCCGGGGGTCAAACCCCACAAAGCTCAGGGGGGTCAAAACCCAGGGGGGTTAAACCCCACAAAATCCGAGGCTTATACCCCACAAAACCCAGGGAGGATCAAACCCCACAAATCTCAGGGAGGGGTGGGTCAAACCCCACAAAACCCCTCCGGATCCCCGCGGGAGCGGCGGGGCGGGCACGGCCCCGCTCCCCCCTCTCCCCCCGGTCCCCCCCGGTGCCCCCCGGTTTCCCCGCTCCATCCGTACCTGCCTCCTGCGCCGGGAGCTGCTGCTCCCTGAAGTGCCCGTACTGGCGGTACGAAGGGCTGTAGGAATACTCGGATTTGGGCGAGTAGGTGCCGGCGGCGCCGATGCCGTTGAGGTTGAACTGGGGGTAGGGGTAGTGGCCCACGGGCTGCCCGTACGACTGGCCCGGGTAATAATCGTGCTGGCCCGTGTAGTAGCCCAGGTCGGTGACCGAGGACTCGGGCAGCGTGGGAGAGTCCTTGGAGGCTGCATGGCAGCTCAGCGAGCCCGAGAGGTCCGTCAGGATGCTGGAGAGCTTCTTATCGAAAGAGCCGCTCATGGCGGGCAGCGGGGAGGGGGCGGCTGCCTGCCCGCGCCCGGGACCCCCCAACCTGGCGGCTGCCGCGGCCTGGAGCGCCCCGAGCGGAGCCGGAGCCGCGGCTGCTTCGAGAGGAGCCACCGAGAGACTGTGCCCAAACCTCCGGCCCCGGCCGCCTGCTTAAAGCCTTTAATTAGGGAGCAGGGCAGGGTGGGTGCGCATTCCGATTGGCTCCAGAAATATTGCCTGGGAGGCAAAATAGGCTCCTGCCTCCTCCTGTGTGGGTTTTTTTTTTTTTTCTTCTCTCTCTCTCTCCCTTTTTTTTTCTCTTTTTTTTTTTTCTTCTTTCTCTCTCTCAAGAAACAACAAAGAGTGGGTGAAGGAGGGTGAGGGAATAAATAAAGTGTGCAGGGTCTCCTGTCTGCAGGAGGGGGGTCCTGGGGACACAGGAGACACTGCGGGGGGACGGGGATGTTTACAAGGGGAGTTTGGGGCTCTTGGAGGGATTTTTTTCAGGATTGTTTATAGAGTTTGTTGTGGGGCAGGGAAGGGGGGTTGGGGTTTGGGACTGGGATGGATCCGTGCTGGGGGCTGGGGGTTTTAGGGGTTTGTTTATGGCCCCCCCATTTCTCCCCTGCTCCCACCCACTCCCAGCAGCGTCCCCCAGTCCAACACCACCCCCAAGGCAGAGCCCCCCCAGAGGATCCTCCCGTACCCCCCACCCTGCCACGCTCCCCCCGCGCTGGGGGCACCCGGAGGCGGTGACAAGCCCCGATTTTGGGGGGACACCCCCGGGGGTGTATGCCCCACTCAGAGCCGTGATCCCTGTGCTGCCCCAAGGACCCCCAGCAGCGTGACCCAGCCGGGGGTCGCGGGCCAGCCCTGGTGTCCCCCCGGCCACCCGCCGGGCTGTCCCCACGGCCCCCAGCCGCGGGAAGGGGGGGCTTTGCAAGGGGGGGAGGGGTTGTTTTTTGGGGAGGGGTCTCTGCTTCTGCGGGCAGGAACTTCCCCTGACAGGAACCGGGGGGCTGGATCGGTGACCCGGGCGGGGCTGTCCCCTCCTGTCCCCTGTGTGTCCCCTCCTGTCCCCTGTGTGTGGTGTGTCCCCCCCCCCATTGTCCCCCCGGGTCCCCCCGGCCCGTCCGCGGCGCGGGGCAACGGCTCCGCCTGGCGGCCACGGCGGGAACTGCGCCGCGCCCCGGGGGCCGCGGGTTCGAGTCCCGGCACCGCCGGTACCGTCCGTGCCAAGGGTTCGAGTCCCGGCACCGCCGGTACCGTCCGGGCCAAGGGTTGGAGTCCCGGCACCGCCGGTACCGGCCGGGCCAAGGGTTCGAGTCCCGGCACCGCCGGTACCGCCGGGCCAAGGATTCGAGTCCCGGCACCGCCGGTACCGCCGGGCCAAGGATTCGAGTCCCGGCACCGCCGGTACCGTCTGGGCCGAGGGGGAAGAGAGAAAAATGGGGAATGGGAAAGGAGCAGGAATGGGAAGATGGGAATAGGAAGGCCAAGGGGGAAGAGAGAGAAAAATGGGGAATGGGAAAGGAGCAGGAATGGGAAGATGGGAATAGGAGTGAGAACAGGAATAGGTATAGTAATAGGATAGGAATACTAATAGGAATAAATAGAGATAGGTAGGAGTAGGAATAGGAGCACAGATAAATAGGAATAGGAATGCACAGGAAGAGGAATAAGAACAGGAATATGAGTAGGAATAGGATTAGAAGCAGCAATAAGAATAAATGGGAATAGGAATAAGAGCAAGAACAGGGAAAGGACAGAAACAGAAATCATAGAAATAGAAACAGAAAGGAATGGAAATGATAGCAGCAGATAGGCAAAAGTGAAGAGAACAGGGACGAATGCCCGAGGGGAGCAGGAGGCTCTGCAGGAGCCGAGCACGACCCGGAGCCGGGGGAACGGCTCGGCCTCGCTTCCCACGTGGGAACTGCGGCTGGGGACTACAGGAATCCATTCCGAGGGGACAGAAGTGTCCGCCAGCGGCCCAGCCCAGCCCTGCGAGCTGCGCCGGGATTCCCTGCGAGGTTCCCAGGGTCCCCGGGAGCCGCTGGGACATCCGCAGGTCCCCAGGCTGGCTGTCGCCCTCCAGCCGGGCTGTCGCCAGGGCTGGGCCCCGCCGGGAGCGGCTCCGCGGCAGGAAAAGCCGGTTGTGGAGCTGGAGGCCGGGGAGGGCAGCGGGGGAGCGGGGCTGGAGGGGGAGCGGGTCCGGCCAGTCCCCGACCAGTCTGGAACTGGGAGCTCTGGGGCTGCCGGGCCGGGCTGGCTCCCGTGGAACCCCAAATCCCGGAGCTGAGGGGTGGGGAGGGGCTGGGGGCGCAGTTTGGGGGAGCCGGGGCACGGCGGGGGACAGAAGTCGCTGTTCTGGGGCACCCGGGGGTCTCTGGGGGGGGGTCCCACGGGCAGGGCTGAGCACAGGGTCCGGTCAGGACCCCCCCGAGTATCCCCCACAGGGCTGGGGGTGCCCCCCACGCCCCCTTACGACCCCCTGGGGGGTCCCTCAGCCCGGCAGTCTCCCCGGGAGTCCCCGCGTGTCCCCCCAGCCCCGGCACAGCCGCGGGGGTTGGGTTTGGGGGGTCCC